TTAACACTTTCACCCACATAAAATTTCATTTCCTTGTAAATCATAAATTGTTTAGTTGTATTGAATTATAATTAAAAGTCATAATAAAAAAAGCTCCTGAACAACTATATAAAATATATATATTCTACAGATTCAATTTTACTTTATTTTGAAAATAGCCTTTTTAGGAATGTACAACCACATATTATATTTTATATGGTAATGACAAATGTTCAGCAAATATGGACTAAGAAAGAAGAAACATTATGCTTTTAAAAATGTTACCTGCTTTTTTTTTTTGCTGTAATGTAGCTGGCATGCTGTATTTGGGGCTATCTACGTGTGTTTTTAAAATGTCATCTTTATTAGTATTACATTCAAGGAATAGTACCAAGAATCCGTTTCTCTCCAGACCTTCCTTCAGTGTGTGGCACATAAGTCCGTGACGAGCGACATTACAGAAGGTCATGTCACTTTTAACTGCTTGCATTACATCTTTCTGATTTCCCTAGTGCCCTTCCTTTGTTTGATTAATACCACTTGTTTTCAAGCAAGGTATCAAAAATCATAATTTGGAAAGAAAATTCTAGGGCTCATCTAAGATATTTCCCCTCAAGAAAAAAAAAACAAACAACTTTGTAAAAACGTAAGTTTTCTAACACGTGCATTTTTCATCACTTCTTTTTTTTTCTCAAGGAAATACTATGTATTGTTACTAAATTATTCCTGACAGATGTTTGGGCAACTGGACTTTGTGTGCTTGAAAACAAAGCTAAGTAGTCCTTCTCTGGTTTTGTTTGAAGAGGAAAGAGCTGGGATTGGACAATAGGACTCCTTTATTTTATTTGTTTTCCTTGGTTGTGTTAAAGTCCAGCACTCTCTTTCTAAATAGTAGGTGTTATTTGAGTTCTCTGGGAAAGGTTGCAATTCTGTGCAGTCATTAAATGCACTTCAGTGATATATACACTTTGTTCTTATTTAAAAGTTCTGTTTGCAGTTTCTATGTATGTTGCATTTGGCCAGGGCTCATGTCCAAGTACAGCCCAGCTTTTCAAAGCCATCCATTTCTTTGGACCACTAAAGCCTGAAAATTAGTCGTGAAAGCATTATCATTTTAATTGGGGATCTTTTTCCACACCTCTCTGTGCCCCTCTATGTATTTCTTAGTGTTCATGAAACAGGAACTGGAATTTTATATGCCATTAAGAACACAGAAAAAATTTATATATATAATTTAATTTCCAAAAATTAATGTTTCAAATACTAGTAAATTGATTTTATTAATAACTAACATTATGAGTACTTCAATACAGGAACTGTGCTAAGCACTTTAAATACATTGTCTCATTGGATTCTCAATCAGCTTGTGTAATAGGTGCTAATATTTTTATTTTCCAAGCCATCTTAAGCTTCATCTTAACAAAATATAATAGTGGGATGCATTCTGAACCAGCTTAAAGGCATCAGTAAGAAACCAGCTATATTATAAATCCTTGCTTGTAGATGTTTATAATGTAACATTAAAAGAGCACTGGAGGAGGGGAAAGCCCTCACTAGAGAGCTAAACAAAACACAAAGGCCTCTCGCTAACACAACACTCTTCTGCCAAATGTAAAAGCAAATGGTTGCACTGGGTGGTTCTGGCTGCACATTTGTGGAGCAATTGTGCGTAGCCAATTACCCACTTGTGAAGGGTAAGAACAGTATGGGTTTCACAAATGAAGAGCCTGGATCTGTAGACCACTTTGAGTCATTCTTGAACATAAGATCCGCAGTTTACAGTGTGTCAGTTAAGCTTTTGGTTTGTTTTATGGTTCAATAATATTTTGAATTTTTGAAAATCAGCTTGAAGGTGATGGAGAGTTCCAAATTTTCAAATAAAGGTTAGATATTCATGGTTTGTGTTTTCAGGCAAATATGTGAAGGCATTTTGAATATTTGCTTTTATTAACCTGCATAATTAAGTACAAATCTTTCTAGGTGAGCTAGTTCAGTTCTGTGAGACAAATGATAGGCACTTTACCAAAAAGTGTGTTCAAGGATATGGAGAATAGATGATGCATGCATCTATTCGCTCTGTCAACAAGTGCTTCTTGAACACCCACTATGTAGCTCGCAGTCTGCTGGGCACGACGTAACACCACCACCCTGTCTTTCTAGCACCTGCGGTGTGATGGTCAGCACTGAAGAGGGGAGGCATGTAAGATTCTCAATAATAACTAGTGAAAATATTGAGAGTTTGTGCACAGGAATAAAAGTGTAGCCTTCATTTATTTCCCTTGACATTTTTGATAAATGACTCACATGGGTAATTTTAGGGAAAAACTACTTAATCTAATGGATATTAAATCATCATGCTGTGTTCCTTAATATGAGTATATATAATTTTTATTTATTGGTTTTTTAATAATTTGTATTTTTAACTACAGTTGACATACAATAGTGAATTAGTTTCAGGTGTACAGCATAGTGATTAGACATCTATAACATGCCAAGTGGTCACCTCAGTAAGTTGAGTACCCATCTGACACCTACATAGTTATTAAAATGTTATTGACCATATTCTGTACATTGCACTTCACATGTCTGTGACTGCTTTTAGAACTGGCAGTTTGCACATCTTGTCCCTTCCTCTTTTTCACCCATCCTGGCAGCCATCAAAATGTTTCTCTGTGAGTTTGTTTCTGTTTTGTTTCTTCCAGTTTACATAAAAGCAATATCATATGGTATTTGTTTTTCTCTGACTCATTTCACCTACCATAATTCTCTCTGGGTCCCAGGTCCATCTTTATTGACACAAATGGCAATATTTCATTTTATAATATTTTATGGCTAATAGTCCACTGTGTACCACTGTGTATATATATCACAGCTTCTTTATTCATTTGTCTGTCAATGGACACTTAGTTTGCCACCAAAAAAATAAAATGAAATAGATAATAACCAACCTTAAAAATTACTTACTGCAAATCTAAAATTTAAAACATCATTTTATTAGAGATATAAAATTATCATCATTTTTTAAAATCTCATGAGGTTTAGTGTTTTGCTTTTTTTTTTAGGAACTGGATAGGGTTTGAAAACTCATTCTCTGCTATCCACAGTCTGGGTTTTAGTCCTAGTTCAGCTACTTGTTGTTAGGTGAATTCTTTTGTTTTGATGTAACACAATGTACTGAAATATTGTGACTGCTTTTCCTATTTGAACCTCCAACACAGCCCAGTTGGGAATAGTCTGGCATATAGTGTCTAAATTATACATTGTTACTACTGTAGTCTGTATGCCTATGATATGAGTACTTTAAAACTGTAGGAAATTAAAATCAACAGGAAAATTATCTGATAGTCTTCATTAAAATTCTACTGGATTATAAGCCTTTTGAGAGCTGATATGAGTATAGATGAATTATCTGTCTGTTATTCATTTTGTATTCCCACACTACCTAGCACTGTGTTCCTTGGACCAGTGGGGTTTGTAATGGAGCTTATGGAGTGGCTGCATATAGTTACAGAGACAAGGTCAAGAATCCTTCTTTCTTGTTGACACTGAATTGCTTTATATGTCTCCAAAATAAGAGTAAACTCTCAAGTGATATTGGAAACAACACATTGTTTTACTACAGTTTATTCAAAATACTGAATGTCAAATGAAAGACATTTTGAATGAACCATATAATAGAATATTTAAAGTATGACATTAAATTAAGAACAGTCTCTCACATTGTCAGATGCTTTGAGTCATATCAGTTCCTAAGAACTGGATGTTTGTGTTTGGGCTATTATTTTTAAGGAGTTAATGCTTTTAAAATATTTGAGAAAAATTATTAGGATAACTGAGAGTCCTGGAATGTCATCTTAGTTTATGGAACTCTTGGCATGATGCAGTCTTAGTTATTGAAGTTTTCATTCAATAACTATGCATATTCCCATCTGTATCATAAAGCCCACGAAAGAAGGGCCAGTGGTCTCTTATCTTCTACAGGTATCAGCTTGGGGAGAAAGGTTAAAAATATTTGATAATTGCATTATCTATTGAGTTTATTTGGAGCTATAGAAACAGACTATATAAAAAAGTAGAAATGCCACAAGATTTAGAAATGACATAAATAGAATCATCAGTTGTCACTTACTTGAAAAACAACCCCCCCAATTAAAAAAAATTTTTCATTTCCATTGAGTGTTGTGTGTAAGTGTATGTGCGTGTGTGTTTAGGTGTATAAAACTGTAATGCAACACCTGAAGCCCTAATCATAATAACTGTAGTTATATAATGATCAAGGCAAACAGAAACTACCTGGCAAATCCAAAATGACCAGTCCAGTCTGCTGAAGTAGATAAACTAGAAGCCATTAAAAAGATATGTATGCATACCCACCTGCATACATGCATGTTATACACATTTGATTATTAAATATACTTCTAATTTTCTTTCAATAATAATGTCCATTCTCATTGTAAATCACAGAGAATTAATGTTAGCATACAGCTAATCCACAAAATCAAAAAGTAATAGAGATAGTCAAGACTTGACAGTTACACACAGAATTAAAACTTGAGCCATGAAAGATATGGTTAGTTTTTTTACCGTAGACCACCCGCATGATTCAATGAACAGATTTTAGTGAAACTAAGTTAAAAATAGCAGAGCTGTTTTCTGCTTACTTATCTAGCTCCAAATTTAAAGTGCCTGATAAATATAGACAGCAAGGTAGGTAAAAAGGAAATTTCCTGATTTAAAGCATCTCTCAAATGAATGTTCATTTACCTTGTGCATATTTCAAATTCTTTAGGTTGTCACAGAATATTTCACACAAATACGGTTCCCTTGACTGGGATTCAGTTCCCTGGTTTTAATCAATTAAAGGCATGGCATTTTCCTCATCTCGATCTCTAGATCAAATATTCCCTCGCAGTGCGTCTCTTTCAAATGTTAATAAAGTTTTCATTTCCAAAAGGTTCAAAATGACAGAACAAAATTCTCTCCTTTAAGAGCATGAAAACGACTTCTGTTTCTGTCTGCAGGTAGTGGAGGACATGCTAGAGGACGAGGAAGAAGAAGATGACAAAGATGACAAGGTAATTATCTTTCCCAGCACTTGGGTACCTGGGGATGGGGAAATGTAGACATGACACTGTTTTCACAGACAGTTAACAAAGGAGTTGAAGTGTTTGAGTCCAGAAAATTGGACAGTGCTGTTTATCATCCTAACAATGCCACTGCATGTTGCAAAGAGGGAGAGAGGGCTATAAATCCTCTTCGCTTTTGTCCAGAGCTGGGTCAAATATTTTTCTGCCAGGGACAAAAAAAAATAATTCAGCTTGTCTGGAACTTGATAGCTCTCCTGAAGATAACGGCAGTGACAACTGTTTTGAAGGACAAAAATTTGTCCTATCTTGAGTGTTACAAATCGGGCTACACTTTGGGGGAAGAGAGAAGAGGAAAAATAGCAGGCTGCGTAAGTTGAACATGGATATTGTCATCTGTAATTTTCGAAAAACTGCTGATCAAAGGAACACATGTGAGCGGAGGGGCATTTAAATAATCCTGGTGCTCACTGCCCTATGCCTAGACTTGACTTGGAATGGCCCTGAGGCGTCTTGGTCAGGAAAGCATGTTTGGAGAGGCTTGTTTTTCCATTGCTCCTTGGCTTGGGGATGGTGTCCACAGTAAATAGCGGCTAGTTTCTAGGACTGCTTGGATTGGTTGTCCCCTGGGGAGAGAAGACAACTGGAGGGAGAAATTAGAATGACCTTGCACTGCTGCAGCAGTGCCTGGGGTCGGAAGAACGGCCTTGTGTGGCAGGAAGGGTAGCAATGCTGGTTTGTCATGTTCGGCACTTCAAGATCTAAACTCGTCCTGAGGTGAGACTGAGGGAGAGAGAGACTCTTGTTCATTAGTTCTAACTTGTTCGTCACATAAAACCAGATTTTGACTTTCACCAGAATCTATCTGAATTCTGTTATAGCAAAGCAGTGAAATTTTTCTGAAGGAAGGAGAAAAACAGTGTATCTTAATTTATACCCTTGACCTTTGATTCCAGTAGAGATGTACAGTTATATTTTAGTTTAAGAATTTTGTGTGCTAGAGGCAAGCATTGGAAATGTCAGAAAAACTCACAGTGATTAGTTAACTCCCAAATGATTTTTTGCCCAATATTTAATGCTAAAAAGAAAATGGAAACACACACATGCACACATATTTTTTCCTTTCCAATGCTCTTTCAAACATTTTTAAATTAATAGAGCTTTTATGTAAAATTTTTCTTATGTACATCATTTAGTCATTAGCAGTATCATTAAGCATAAACTAACAACAATCTTCCTACAAAAACACATATGTGCTTGTTTTTAATGTTAAATAACAAGACCATACACTTACAGCAATAAATGGTATGATTTATTGTTAAGGTCAGTTGTAGAGCTGTAGAGAGCTTGTATTTTAACTCAACATGCCAGCTCTGAATCATCATTTCTCTGCTGATAAACACTTAGCTGCCATCCATTTATGGCCATTTTCCTTTGCTTGTTGCTGCTTTATTATTAAAGCCACCATAAAGATCCATTCCAGCGGTGGGCGTTTCCCCGGCACTGTTCATAAATGGAAACCCTTAGTGAAGTCTAGTGCTTCAATTGTCCCTGCTTGAAGTCAGGCTGTATTTTATAGCCAGTTTGTTGATATTTTGTACTACTAATCTCTGCTTTATGGTCATTTTTTAATAGAGAGGATGGTGACAGTGGAAAATCAATAGCACACCTGGTTAGCCAGCTTACCAAAACATAGACGCCAGGTAGAACATGCCATGGTGGAAGCAGCACCAGTACCTCTGTAATCCAGTGTTTGCTTGTCTGAAATTGACACCCCCCGTTAAGACATTTTTAGACCTAGTTGCCAAAGTTAATTGAAAGGTGTGCTTAAATTACTATGTGATTCAACTGCATTCTTCTGTACAGGATGCCAACAAACTGTGTTTTCCATAGGGAAGGACTGTGAGCTGATTTTCATAAATCCAGTCCTTTATTTGAATGATATATAAGGTTTTTCTTTTTATTCATAATGCAATTTATAGCATTAAAATCATATCTGAACAGAAAGAAAAATCTGAAGTGTAATAGTTTACAATAGACTTTAGGGGCTTGTGTAATAGAGGGAAGATTCGTAGAGTGGACATTTTGAAATACAAAGTTTTTACTCTAAGAAATGGAAATATGAAAGGACCCTTCAAGTTTCTATGTACCAGCTCCTCTGGACCGGCTCTCGCAGTGGTGAGTGCTCTGAGCCTTGGCTATCAGTGTGTCTGAGTGGGAGAAGGGTAATTTCCTACTTTAAAAAATTCATTGGTTCTTCTGTTTAAAGTTTGTGTATAGAGTCATGCATAATGGAATTTCATGAGAAAACAAATGTATTTTTTGCCATACGAGCAGGTACTGACCTCTAGCTCTCATTATTTCTCTGTTTTCTCATATGGTATAATAGTGGGGTTGGGTCAGTGGGTCTTCTTATAGGATAAAAGTAAAAAAGATTAATAAATGTGCCAAAGCCTCACTTTAATTGAACCTGAAGCATATGTTGCAAGTATGTAAAATATGTCCCAGATGTTTCACCAGGGCTGGTGTCTTGGCTTTCCCTGATTACCACAAGGCAACTATTAGTCCTATAACCTTTGGACTTGGGGGTAAATGGGGTATTACATGGCACAGAATGAGAGCACCTGTTTTCCATTCAGCAAAGACCCCTGGCAGGCTTTGCCTAAGCTTATCCATATGTTTTCACTTAGCAGATTGTTGGGCGATTATGAAAAGTGTCTTTCTTTAGAGCCAGCATTGATATTAGTCACTCACAATGAAAGGGCAAGTCATTGGCTACTTGACAAGGTCTGTGTGGGCATAAACTGAAGTCATTTATTTCATTTGAGCTTGGAGTGTTTTCTCTCAACATAATTACATAGATGGTATAAGAAGTTGAAGCAGACCAAGATATAATTATTTAACATAGTAGTTTTGTAATAGCTTTTCTTTAGTGCTGATTTTAGCACCTGGGAAGACTTTGGGTAAAGGTGGTAAAAGCTCAGTCGTCATTTACCTGGATCACCAGATCTTAGGTGTTGTACATTGTGACCTTTTGAGTATTTTTGAGTATGTGAATTTTTCCTTTTTACTAAAACAGCTGAGCGTTTGTGATCCTTGGACTTATTCTTCATTCCAGAATCCATTGTTGACTTTAGCCTAAATCATTGACTTGTTAATATTTTTACTTACCTGCATTACATAGTAATACTATGTTAAGCTTTGCTGGAGATGGTATTAAATGTTAGAAAGGCATCATACTGCATTTTCAGTTCTTTTTGTTGTAGAGTGTTTTTTCAGCCACCAACCACAAAGTCACAGTTCGATCTGATTTTTGACCTGACATCAAATCCTGCCTTTGTGGTTAATAGAATATCTTGTAAATAAGGCTTAGCTAAATTACCCAGGAGGAGCTATCAACAAGCCATATAAGAGTGTTTTTCACTATGTTGTATATAATACAGTGGTCAATCTGCATAACTTAGACATCTAATTAATGAACATCAATTTTTGTTTTATAGCTTAAAAAGTTTAGGCATGTTTCCCATGGTGTGTCCTCCCCTTGTAATGGGACCCAGCTGCAATATCAGGAAGCAGAAGATAGAATGCAGGTTTTCCTCAGGAAAGGCAAGGATTCCAATGCATGGCATTCTAGTAATGTTTATTGGTAAAAGATATTAAAATGTCCAGGCATTTATGCTCACATTGCTTCTCCTTTTTTCTTCAACCATTATGTCAAGGTTACTGTGTATCAAGATAACTAAATGCAGTGAATGAAACATATCTGAGTTACTTCAAAATACACAGATTGTTTGCTTTAATTCCTGGAATCTGTATCTTCCAGTTAGATTCTCCAGCCCTAAGCATGTATATAATATACCCAAGGTGCGTAAATCTTTGCGTCTCAAACCAACTGCAAGGGAGAAAAAAAGATAACTCTGATACATGATATGAGAGAAGATTTTAATCTGACAATATGGCATTTTCTTATTCAATAAAATAACTGCATGCAGGGAAAACAGATTAAAGCTTTGGAGAAAAGCAGAGAAAGAGGAGACAAGAAAAAATCTCTTTAAAAAATCCCAAGTCATGTTTAACTAAAATACCATTTTATTAGTTTATTAGTTTTCTATTGCTGCATAAAAAAATCACCACAAATTTAGAGGCTTAAAACCATACACATTTATTAGCTGTCAGTTCAGTAGGTCAGAAGTCCAGGCATGGTTCAAGAGCGTTCTCTGCTCAGAGTCTCACACTCAGGTTGTCAGTCAAGCTGAATTCTTGTCTCGAGGCTCTACAGAAGAGTCCGCTCCCAAGCTTATTCAGTTTGTCCATAGAATTCAGTTCCTCAGAGTTAGAAGGCTGAAGCCCTTGTTTCCATGCCAGCTTTCCGCTTAGTGGCCACTTTCCATGACCCTCTCCAAATTTACACCCATCAATGGAGAACCTCCCTTCTGTCAAATCCATGTCACCCTTCGAAACTCTTTCTTCAGGAAGAGCCTATTCCCTTCAAGGACTTGCTGATTAGGTCAGGCTGACCAAAAATAATCTCCCATTTTAAAGTCAATGTGCCATCATAACCCGATCGTGGGAATGATTATTCCATCATATTTCTAGATCCCTTGCACACAGGGGGATGGAGTGTATGGGACGGATGCCCTGGGAGGTGGAACCTGGGCAGTCAGCTCACAATTCTGCCTGCTACAACCACGCTCTAGGACAGAAATGGAACAATATTTGTGTTCCTTGTGCGTACCTATTGTTACGCTGTGATATAACTATTCTACAATAAACAAGTCAGACATGTCCTCTCAAAAATTATAGGAAACATCTCATACCAGAAGTATAAGCTGAGGTATATTTTATAGTACAATATCTTCCACTTATTACCTCATTCTGCTCTGGAGTGAGGGGCAACTGGACATGCAATCAGCCCAGTGGGCTCTTGCCTTTTGTTGTTTCCTTCTGGGCGGAAGAGCAAATAAGAATAAAATTGGCAAAAAGTGGGGATG